GACTTCAACGAAAAAGGAATGCTCCTATGAAGCAATACAACGTTGGTGGCACATTTGAAAGGATTGCTTTAGATATTGCTTGACCATTCCCCTCGACCGAGAATGGTAGACGTATTGATAAAAGATTTTATCTGTCGATTTGGAGTGCCCTTGGAGATCCATAGTGATCAAGGCAGAAATTTTCAAGGCCAACTCTTCCGTGGAATCTGTGACAGACTAGGTAGGCATGAAGAAACCAGAACCACAGCATTGCACCCACAATCCGATGGAATGGTAGAACGAATGAATAAGACTATTGACAAATATCTGTCAAAAGTAGTTTCAAACCATCAGCGAGATTGGGATCAGTATCTTTCGCTCTTTGCAATGGATCCGCTGTCAATGACTCAACAGGCCAAACGCAAGCAAAGCTCCTCTTTGGACGTGAGATGAGACTACCATGCGACCTCGAGTTTGGATGCCGACCTATAGAAGATGTAGCTGGTGAAGATTATGTGATCCAGTTACGAAGAAGAATGTATAATATGCATGAACTGGTCCGCTCACATCTCTAAATCGCCAGCGACAGAATGGAGAAGCGATACGATACCCAAGCCACAGAAGGATGTTTCAAGGAAGGCGACAAAGTCTGGCTCTATAATTGAAAAAGACAAAAGGGTTATTCTCCGAAGCTTCAAAGGTCATGGAAAGGTCCATATCTCATCAAGAAAAAAAATCAATGATGTCATTTACCGTATAAGTAAGATCCCGAACGGTAAACCAAAGGTAGTGCGCCAAAACCGGCTGGCGTCATTTGAGGGTGACCATGAAGAGGAAGAAGAAACCAGCTCCAAGAAACATCTGACCTTGTCTTTGAAGAATTTATGGGTTCATATGGAGGTACCGGAAAAGCAAAACGTGGTGTTAAAACCGAGCAACAACAAGACCTGCTCACGGATCCAAAAGACGACTCGCTGGTCCATAGCACTTCCGCCAACATCTACGACGCTCGAGGTCTGGCATCTGTATTCCGGAAAAAGTTTGTTCGACTGCCAGAACTTCAAGATCAGTTACCAGCCCCTGGAAAAGCATTAAAACTTCAAGATAGATCGCGTTATCTTTTCTATTTGGTAACAAAGAACACCTTCCGAGATAGATCCACCTATCATGATGTATAGGAACCATTACTTGAGTCCAATGTACAGAAACTAGCTATGCTAAAGATAGAGAGCAACCAGCTGAATTGGAGGATCATGAGAAACATGGTGGAAGTAATCTTTCAAAATACTCAGGTTGAAATACTGGTCTGCAGCTATTCTCCCAGCGTTCAGGTTATAGCAACTGGAATTTGTAAAAGAAGATCCAGTTGCAGATACAATCATTCAGTTTTAGTTCCAGAAGGAACTATTTCTTAAAAATAGGGCAATGTCATGAAATTCCTAAGCCGACCCTGCCTAAAGCAAGCCGCTACCTTCAGCTTTTCACCCGACTCATGCTCGAAACGACGGAATCTTCCATGAATGCCGCTGAAGCTCGAGAAACGGCTAGAACGGGCGGAGAGTGCCGTTGAGTCAAAGATAGAATTTTCTGGAGCGTCTAGAGACTTCTCGTAGCAGAGTTGGACTTGGTATAAATAGCCGGCTCATCGGCGGACCGTTGAGTTTAGTATAGAGCAGTGGACTGAACACATAAATTGTAATAAATAAATTAGAATTGTGAGTTAGTGTCTAAGTATTATATAAATTAAATGGTACGCCATAAATAAATTGTAAATAGTGTGTTTTAAATAAATTAACTATACATAAATTAGACTACCGTGACAGTATTTTGTTTATGAATATCACCTTTTCATAACTTTCTATAATATAAAATTGCTTTTGGTAAATTTGATTGCTCATACTTGTTTTTCTTTTATTCCAGGTATGCCATCTCATACGAGCATTAATTATTTTATTTTACTATTATGTAGGGTGACCAGACGTCAGGATAAAGCCGGACATGTCCGACTTTTTCGCTTAAATGAAAACGTCAGGCCGGCTTTTTGTCGTGTCCGGCTTTTTATCAATCAAAAATTGATGAAATCCCAGACAGCACACCAAATCTTTTGGATATCTACTGAATATCCCAATATCCACTGAATGTCCAGTCCATGGTGGATATCTATTTTATATCCATGAACTATAATTTATAGACATGCAAATGTCCATAAATAATAGTAATTAGCAAATTATTAAAAAATTACGCCATTGTGCTCGCCATTGTGGCTAATAGTACCACTAGATGTAATTTTTGATTTTGCTTACTAAGTATAGATGGCGATACCACTATCGCATCTACTCATGCTTAACCCGCCGTAATTGAGTTCGATCGAAATTTGTTCCTAAATCAGACTCCATTAGAGACTGGAGTCGAGAATTTCCATTTATTGCTGAAGAGTCCTAATAAGGATGACTTTCTCCTTAGTGGGCAAAATCAAAGGCAGAGTGTTGAAAATATTTTGAGTGTTGAAAATATTTTTTATCTCTGCTATTTTCTTTCGACGTTATTCAATAATCATTTGTTACTTTTATGAACCTCTACTAAAGATACCCATAAAATATTTTGCTGAATATCCGAATTCTTCTATATACTGGGATATAGACGGACATTTGGTTAGATACCCATATTGGATATCCACAAAATATATTCTGTGGATATCTTTGGGATTTCTTGTATTGTCTGGAAGATACCCATTAGATATTTTGCTGGATAATCCATAGGATATCTTCTATATTCTGGATATAGACGGACATTTAGATATCCATATTAGATCCACGGAATATTCCTGATATCCTGTGGACATGGGCGCCCATAGGGAGGGGCAGGGGGGGGGGGGGGCCACGGCCCCTCCCTGTTATATTACACATTTTAAACAAATAATGGCAGACCACTGTTTGCTGTAGTGTAACAATTATAATTGTCCACGGAACAGTAACGCATGATAAACAAATTAGGTTGTAATAAAAAAGAGTAGGTATTACAAGATGATTTGAAACACAACTTTAATGAGATTTCAATAAAATTTGTAAGAAAAATATCTTTTCTATCTTTGTATGTAATCATCATTTACATATAAAAAACCAAATTACTGTTACACATCCCCACAACACAAATACCAACTTAAATAACAGCTTGATGACATCAACGTGACGCTAGTCAACAATTTGTAACCACAGTTGCTCCCAAATATAGCTGACGCTTTTGATATTACTTTTGAATCGCCAAGGTTGGCCAAACGACAAACACAACGTGTCAATTACTTGGCTAATTCTGTACAGGATTATTTTAAGGTGTCTTTATTTATACCCTATATCTACTCATTTTTAAGTTCCATAAATAATAGATTTTAAGACGAAAATAATCCTAGCTTTTTTCTTTTCAATTTACATCCTGAAAATTTACTTAAATTAACCAAAGAAAAGTATCTGAAATCAATGAATGATATTTGTAAATTGTACGAGATAGAAAATTTAAAAGAAGAAGCACAGACATGTCACTATTTCTGGAAACATAAAGAAAACAGAATTGTTCTTTCAACCCCGCCATTGCAAAAGCAATTAAAATTTCTTTATGCTTACCGCCCACAACATGTACTGTGGAGCGCTCATTTAGCACTCTTCGAAGAGTGAAAACTTGGATTAGGGCTACAATGAGCGAAAACCGTTTGGACGGTTTATGTATGCTAAGCGTTCATAGGCAAGTTATTCAGAAGGATAAAGAAATGTTTATAGAGAAGGTTATAAATGAATATGGTAAAACCAAAAGAAATCTTCAGTTTCTTTTTTCTGAGTGATGAGTCAACAATGTGTTTTTATAATTATATAATATATCTACTATTTTTTGAATAAAATTATTTAATATACCTACTTATATATTTTTTTGTTTTGCCCCCCCCCCCCCCCTGGAATAACGCTTATGGGCGCCCATGCCTGTGGATATATTGGATATCCACAAAAGATATTCTGTGGATATCTCTGGGATTTGGTGTGTCGTCTAGGATCATTTTATTAAAAGACAGTTTGACAACAAAGATTTAAAATGAGGAATTTTTATCATTATCTTTAGATTAAAAGTGGTCTTACTTAAAATTTGTGGATTCTACTTTGCTATTCCGGCACATAATGCTGCTGTGGAACGAATTTTTTCTTTAATCGCAGCGCAGTGGACCAAAGGAAGAAATCGTTTATCTATCGAATCAATAAAAAGCCTCATAATGTTAAAATTTAATTTAAAAATGTCTTGTGAGGAATATTAAAATTATTTGATGGAAAATCCCAATATTTTAAAAGAAATTGGTTCTTCTGAAAAGTATAAGTAGTTTTTACCTAAGTAAAAATTGTTACATTTTTTTATATAAATATATTTGTTAAATGTCAGGTTTTTTTATTAAAAATCAGGCTTTTTTGTCCTGATTGTCCTACTTTTCTGCAAATAAATCTGGTCACCCTATATTATGTTCTTTTAGTTTTATTGATTTTAATCATTTAATACTTATTTCTATCTAATTTTATTTTGTTCTAAAAATTACCTCTCAATTTAAAGTTATTAATTCTTTTATTGAATTAATTTCTAATATTTCCTGACATTGATTAAATAACTAAATATTTTCGCTAAGTTTATATTAGATATTTTTAAATTACAAATATCTTTCTATATTTGTCAGAAAAAAAATAAACATTTTCCTAAAGTTTTGAATAATAAATAGTAATTCAAATTCACTGAAACACATTTAAGTCTTCAAGTGTCAGACACCTACCCATATATTTAGCCTTTTCTAAAATTAACCATTTCGTTTACAAGGCGATATCAGCAAATTTTTTATTTCAAGTATTACATTACCAGCGCGACCAGAACGTCTAGACGGTATTTCTTGGACGCGATTGTTATTCCACATAATTACCAGTGTGATAATTCCAACATCATTCTATTTCCTCTGTACGTTTTTCTACATTCCCACAAAAATTATATTTTCATCAGTAGCGAGTAGCGAGCGAGATAGGAGGTAGCCAGCTGCGAAGATGGACACGCATTTTGTTTTTGTTTTCGCGCTAATCGTATTGTGCTCGAGTTTGAATTTAAGCCGTGAGTTTGATTTTTATATTTTCATTATAACTACTTTATTATTATTTTACGGAAGCGTAGAAGGGCCACAACAATTATGTAACTAGGCAGTACGCAGATATTTTTTTCTTAACCTTCCTCCCGAGTCCTACCGATTTCCGAGTCCCTCACATGTTGCGTTTACGCGTTTGAAATAATTGGGGAGTACCTTTTAACGTTGATTTTGTTTCGTACAATTTTATTTTCTAATTGTTGGGTTTATATAAAATTTTCATTGGAACCTCCAACCTTGAGGTGTTCAGTATTTTCCTTTTTTTTTTCAGTAGGGTTAAAAAATTCCATTCTTTCGATGACCTTATAAGGATTGTTTTACCGAAACTCAATTCGAGAATCTTCTACTTTCTACAAATTTAGATTTTAAAATTGTTAGTAAATGAATGAATCAAGAACTATCTATACAAATACTGAACATATAATTTGGCTCCTGTATGCTTTAGGTACCTCGAAATTTAGAAAAAAAAATGTATTACACTAATAGTAGCCCACTGCTAATTTCGATCGTCATATGATAACGAAATGAAATACGCTCTAAAGGCATGTAACAACATTGTACTTTACCAAATTGCACCTGTGCCAATTTCTATCCTGAGCAAAGTGGTTAAAAAAAATTATTTTATATTCAAAAAATCACATAAGACATGACAACAACAATTGTGTTTTCCCTGAAAATTACAATCCTAATTCATATTTTTACCTACCTTTTAAACCATGTTTATGTATGAAAGGAATAAGGATGGCATTGTATAAACCATTTGCAGAGATAGTCAATAATAATTATAAACTCTTGTTAGCCAATTATTTTAAACCATAATCATAGTAGTTTTTTGTCGTTTCTATGGCAACCTGTAAAAATGAATCACAACAATAGGCATACAAATAAATTTTTAAATCAGCAAACATTGATTCACATTTTTAATGATTTTTACCTACTAATCATGGATATATATTTTTGTGCAATGTTAAGAGGAAGAAAATGTTTCACTTAAACGATATATATCAAGATATATTTGAATGTTATTTTCTGGAAAACTTTAAGGGCAAACAAAATTAGCGCTATCATGTCTTGTGATTTTTTGAATATAAAATAATTTTTTTAAGCCACTTTGCTCAAGATTGGGTTTGGCACAGGTGTCATTTGGTAAAGTACAATGTTTTTCCATGCTTTTGGGGTATATTTCATTTTGTTATCAGATGACGGTAAAAATTTGCAGTGGGCTCTAGGGCTATAAAAAGTACCCATTACATATTGTATGCCTCTAAAAAAAAGGATAAGAAAATTTTATCAAATTTACAATTTTATAGGCTATATCGTAATTTTTTTCACAATTAAAGAATGGGTAATATCAATATTTACGTATTTTATCTTGTAACTAACTGAAATTCATTTATAAAGATTTTCCTTGCCCTAATTAATTAATTAATTTTACGATATAAAAATATTTTATTCTTGTTAATATTCACATATTTTATGTAGTATAAGGTGTAAAGTACTGAAACTCCTGGCAAAACTAAGAAAATTATAAAATGTTAGGTTAGGAACATCAAAATCTTAACTTTTCTTAGAAAATATTCTGTAATCAGCAGTTTTTTAGAATTTTTTTTCTATAGAATGGGTACTTTTTATTGTTTAAATTAATTTTTCAAATTCCGTCGTACCTAAAGCGTACCGGACTCTATTTTTTACTTATAAGTATACTTACATACCTTGCTTACAAAAGTGAGAAACGAAGATACTTTTATTTTTTTATTATTTATTAATTTCTATATCATTCTAAATCGAAACATAAACTAGCTTGCACACATACATTATAATGCATCAGTGAGTTATTAGTGTCTAATTTATTTTGTATTTATACTAGGTATTCATTTGAATAATTATTAAACTTTTTATACTTGTAACTATTCCTTATATTTTCTTGTATATTATTATTATTATTATTATTATTATTATTATTATTATTATTATTATTATTATTATTATTATTATTATTATTATTATTATTATTATTATTATTATTATTATTATTATTATTATTATTATTATTATTATTATTATTATTATTATTATTATTATTATTATTATTATTATTATTATTATTATTATTATTATTATTATTATTATTATTATTATTATTATTATTATTATTATTATTATTATTATTATTATTATTATTATTATTATTATTATTATTATTATTATTATTATTATTATTATTATTATTATTATTATTATTATTATTATTATTATTATTATTATTATTATTATTATTATTATTATTATTATTATTATTATTATTATTATTATTATTATTATTATTATTATTATTATTATTATTATTATTATTATTATTATTATTATTATTATTATTATTATTATTATTATTATTATTATTATTATTATTATTATTATTATTATTATTATTATTATTATTATTATTATTATTATTATTATTATTATTATTATTATTATTATTATTATTATTATTATTATTATTATTATTATTATTATTATTATTATTATTATTATTATTATTATTATTATTATTATTATTATTATTATTATTATTATTATTATTATTATTATTATTATTATTATTATTATTATTATTATTATTATTATTATTATTATTATTATTATTATTATTATTATTATTATTATTATTATTATTATTATTATTATTATTATTATTATTATTATTATTATTATTATATTATTATTATTATTATTATTATTATTATTATTATTATTATTATTATTATTATTATTATTATTATTATTATTATTATTATTATTATTATTATTATTATTATTATTATTATTATTATTATTATTATTATTATTATTATTATTATTATTATTATTATTATTAATTATTATTATTATTATTATTATTATTATTATTATTATTATTATTATTATTATTATTATTATTATTATTATTATTATTATTATTATTATTATTATTATTATTATTATTATTATTATTATTATTATTATTATTATTATTATTATTATTATTATTATTATTATTATTATTATTATTATTATTATTATTATTATTATTATTATTATTATTATTAATATTATTATTATTATTATTATTATATCATCTTTCTGCATTTTTAACATAACCTATTTTCAACTGCTACGTCAATAATAAGAAATATGTCTACTTTTCAATCAAATCAAAGATCGGTAAGCGCATACGCAGCCAGTGAGGACTCGGCAAGCGGTAGGACCAGGCCCATGACACTCCCTGGGTGGGAAAAAGACGCGCAGCTTTTACTGCGCTGACGTTTTCGGGATATAACCTATCACTTGTCATAAATCCGGTTAAAAACTCGCTACCATGCGCAGGCAACCCATATTTCGTACACAAATATAAACTTTTGTTTACATTTTATCGAAGTAGTTTTCAGTAGTTTTTGTAATACATTCACAGCTTAAAACGGAAAATTTGTTATTTTGATAGTGGATTTAGATAAAAAATACCCCAAATACACTTCAGTGTGTGTTTTATCCTTATTATTGCTCGTTTTATTTGAGGACATTGGAATAAATAGAGTACTAAAAGTAATCAAGCTAAAAAGGTGTGTTATAAAAAGAAAATACATTGCCTTCGACTGATTTATGTTTAATATGTTTTCGTGAAGTATTTCCAACATGCTAGTTACTTGAATGGTTGTAAATTGTACGTGTATAAGTGATAAAAACATCTAGTGCTTTGTGCTTCCTTTTTTTCTATTGGTGTCCATTTCTAGCCAGCAATAGTAGCAAAAACATTAACATTGTCTACATTCAACCCATTTGCATGTACATGATTTATCAGCTAAAAGCAGAATACAATATTTCTCTGCAAAATGTAAACAACGCTACAAGGAAAATTGCTCATGTATAAATTCAACAATTAAATCAAAATATATTATTTTTAAAGGACTTATATCAACTATTATGTTAATTATAAATATTATAAGTATTTGTAACAAAATAATAGTTGTGTATTAATAAACCTGTTGCTACTCCAAAAAATATATTATTTATTGATTATCAGGTATCAAAAATATGTGTACCTATAGAAATTTGTTGAAATGTTCTATTGCTCTTAATCTTTTTAATGGGTTCTTATTATAGTTGTAAATAAAAATCAACACTTTTTATCCGTCTATTTAACACTTACAAACGTATGCATATTTTAAGTTGTAAGGATCCATAGCCTCTTAATGTTTTACATTAGAAATAAAACCTGTGATGTCACATTAAATCGTTAATATGAGGTAAAGGATTTGGGAGTAGTCTTTCAGTCTAATTTGAAATCCAATAACCATTTTTTACACATAACTAAAAAAGCAATAAAAGGATTAGGTTTTTAAATCAGAAATACAAACAAATTTAGGATTACCACCGAAATCAGATTATATAATGCCTTAGTAAGACTCCATCTTGAGTATGTTTCACAAATATGGATGCCCTTGGAAGCCACACAAATTGATCATATTGAAAAAGTACAAAAAATATTTTTACAGTACCTTTATGTCATAAAAAATACTTGTACCCTTATACCTAAGATCTCGTATAAAACTATGCTCAATAGTTTTAAGATTAAATCTCTTTTACAAAGAAGAAAGCAACAGGCTGTGATATATTTTGTACTCTATTTTAAGTACAAAGATTGTGAATTGATTGACTATATAAATGTTAATGCGGCAAAGATTAATCTAAGAAATCCCAAGTAACAATAAATTATTTGATTTAGATCCAAGTAGTATATCTCTTTTTAACAAGATGATGGCTGTTACCAATGAGTTTCTTAGCGAGATCCAAATAGATATCTTTAATGTTAGCCTAAGAAAGTTGAGGATTGTACTAAATTAAGTTCACTAGATATAAAGGTTTGTTTTGTTTTTGGTCTTAAATTTCTTGTTACTTAACTCTACATGTAACTACTATTAATTTTTTTATA